ATATATATATATATATAGCATTCCGTTTAGAGCTGACTACTCTTTTGACTTAGTGTTATCTTGAAGCTTATGCGTGAATTAGTTCAAGTTGTGACAATGTCCGTTATATGGTAAAAGTAAGCTCAGTTCTGATGGTCTTTAAACTCTACTTACATACAAAAAATAAGCTTAGTTCGTTTTAACCACAAAACGATTGATTATATTTAGTGAACTGCGTCAACTTAAACTTTGAACTAAATTTAAAGGCCTGCAGAACTACGCTACTCGGCTGTCATTTTCTATTGAGATCGAGTTACGAATCTCTTCGCCATGCATTCTCCTACGAAAGGTAAGTCTCCACAAAAATCGAAGGCTCTTGTGCTGGGCCATAAGAGGCACAGCCAATATCATAAAGCAGAAAGCGGTGCTCTAATTGTAGCTCGCAAAGAATACCAGTGGAGTCCTTAATAAGACAATTTCATTGTGCCCCAGAACCCCGAAGTTATTTGCAAAAGTCAAATTAGAATGTTTAAACACTCAAATGGCTGTCGGTTTATTCCTCCATAGATGTAAGTTGTGAGCTATTGGTCTTACAAACAAAATTGCGAAACCACATTATTGAAAATCTCACTCCTGACGCTTTGGTGAATTTTTTATTCGTTACAATTTTACATTTATGAACCAATCTCGAATCCTTATGAGGATGCCGACGAGATGCCCAGATGAGGTCATAATTACAGTACAAACAGGAAGAGAAAGACATTTAGGAGACATTATAGTGTGAAGCTCAATGGGATCTTAAGGTCTACTCATTTAATTATGAAAAAACTTAGCTACTAGTCTTATTCTATCTTATGACTAAAGCTTTTTCTTATTTAAGTATTGGTGTATTTGAAGAATAGCATGATGTTACGTTGAGTCAGAACAGAATCTTTCGGTGGATAGAGTTTGTTTAACCTCGATTGTGCTACTTTGACACGTTGCCACAATTGACCGATATTAGTGTCACATGCCATTATTGCCGTATCTCGTTGACCAGGCCATTCCCAGACGTTTCGTTGGTATGGTCATTGAAAACTGCCAGGCTCCGTAGCAGGCCACAATGTCTTATTAAACATGCTAAACTTAGCGTCAATTAACCAGCAAAAAACAAGTAGGTTTGCTGATTATGGTACGTCTGCTGCTAAAAGAAAGATAAGAGAGGCTATTGAAATTAATAGATTAAGAAATACGTTAAATGTGAGGAACGGTGGCAGAAAGTTGAGTAGGAACTACTTATGTTTGATTGATAGATTGAAGGAGAGAGAGAGGTTGTTGAGCCGCCATCCAACAGGTTGGAGTAAGCTCATCAACCAAACCAGACGTGCCAGATCACACAACCCCAGTCATTCCTTTCCTTGGGTAGTTAAATGTTAATGACCCTAGACTGAGAGGTTTGGACAAGTGGCTTCGTAACTTGACTTACAAACTTACAAACTTACATCTCATTAGCTCAACCATAATAGCATTAGTCTTTTTGGGTCACTCTGATTTAGGACCGGTATTGCGTATTGACGTCAACAAGCACACCCACACAGACACACACGAGCAAAAGTAGCGGGACCAGTATGAAAGATAATTAGCCAAACCATCCTATAACTATTTATGTCTGTTTATTTTCGTTTTTAGTAGTTAATATATATAGGAGGTAAGATTGAGCCCTAATGTTAACGTTAGACTTCTACAGGGATGAGACCCAGTTCTGATGATGTACATCATTTGATGAACGAAAGCTCAGCCCATTTTCATCCGAAACCAAAGAGGATGTCGTGTCTACTGTGTCAACCTGAACGTCGTATAAAACTCAAACGGCTGCAGTACCACGGGATTCATCCGTCCTCTTCTGGTGAGATCAACCTACGAATCTCTTATCCATGCATTTTCCTGCAAAATGAAGATCCCGCCAACAATGTCATCGAAACCTAGTTACGCTTCGTAGCTACAAATATTATAAGGTATAATCTATTTATTTTATTGTTAAAGCCAACTACGGTATTGGAGAAATGTCGGTAAATATGTCCAGTCTCAGAAACTCACATAAAAATAACGATTGTGGACAATAATGGAGTATAGAAATGGGTTAACCTCCTTTTCTCAACTTGGTCTTGTTGTCAGGGGGACTTAGTAGAACGCCCCTTGTTCAAAGTCCTCTGCCATAATTCCCAGCATCAGATAGCGTTAATGATAACGACTATGGCAGAGGATTTCGGACAAGGTGCGTTCTACTAACTCGCCCTGACAACCAGACCAAGTTGTGAAAACGAGGTCGACCCACTTCCATGAATTGAAAGAAGACTGCGACCATTCCGGGGTAACATCATCTTGGTCTTCATATCTTCGAATAATGGAGTATGCTCGTCTAACTCATCATGGAAACATGCCAGAATTACCTAAACGAACTAGAGCCAATTAAGGATCATGTATTGCATTATCTCTGTATTTGTGTTCCGAGTTATAATCGTGCTGTTGATGATGGTAAAGCCAGGGCCTGAGTGGAACTTCATTAGCACTATGATGCATTTAGGCCAAGCCATCAAAGTAATTGATTCAATTGTACCTAAAGAACCAAGCTATCTAAGGTGTAACCTCATAATAGGCAAAAAAGGCGTCATAAAATAATAATTTTTTCCAAGATTTTCAATTCCGTTTATCTGCAATTTTCTCACAATTCTTGAATACGGGAAAATTTAAGCACTATGTGTGTAACGTGTCCATCTGAGAAGGTATGGCAGAGTATTTGCGGAAAATTTAATAGTTTAGGTTCATATTTGGCTTTTCTACGAATTGATCCCATGTTGAGTGGTTCGATCTTCTAACTAGCTGGAAGCAGGCACTACTTCTGATCCCATTCAAGAAGAAATATTTTTGATAGACAGTCAAAATACCTTTTTACCTATTGATTTAACCAATATATAAACATAAACTAAGTCAGTATACGATAGAATCTATTTAATTTAATAACACCTTCAAATATGGCTCTAATGCTTTTATTATTAATGAGGGCATGGAACCCAAAAAATCTTAAGTGACTCTGATTATCTCCAAGTAAATACATCTCCCCAAAGGCGAAAACACAATATCATAATTAATATTGATTACAACAATTTATCATATAATTACTCATTATACTCTTTGTAAAATATAATCCTCACTCTTACATGGTTATATTTGCCAAGTTTGAAAAATAAAAATAAATTATCTATTGCATTTTATCATGATGCAAAAGGAGAGATAAACTACCAGAAATATAATTAAGGTTTGTAATGCCATCATCAATCAATTACATAAGCATCATTCTTAATCAAAATAAGTAGAATTATTACTATATTAATGGTAAGCATTTTTAATCCTTATATTATTAATATAATAATTTTTCAGATACAACAATGACTCAATAGAGTTAAAATGAGAGGCCTTGTAGAGGTAAGTTTTTTTTGAAGATATGAAGACCAAGATGTTGTGGCCTCTGGTATGGCCGCGTTCTATTAAGTCTCCCTGACAACAAGACCAAGTTGCGACAACGAGGTCAACCCACTTCTGAAAGCTTTCTTTGTTAAGCGAAGGTATGAAGACAAAGATAGTGTGGTCTTTAATATGGTCGCGGTTTCCTTTCGTAGTATAGAAGTTGTTTGACCTTGTTTTCGCAGCTTGATCTTAATGTCAGGGGGAACTAGAGAAACCCACCTTTTCCGGAGTCCATAGTATCCATGATTATTTCCAGAATCGAACCGTGGACTTGATACATAGTCAACATCGTCAGTGAGCTTTGCTATTCTTAGCATTACGTTACAACTCGTAACAGAGACAACTGAGTTCTACCCATTGACCAATTTTCTACTCAAAGGATCGACTTCACGAATTTTGGTGTGGTCCTAGGAAATAGAAGAGCTCACTGACAATGCCGGCGAAACGTTTGGGAATGTATCAAAACCACTGTTCCAGGCTGGAAATTGTCATAGATGCTATAAACACCGGAAAAGGTGCGTTCCTCTATATCTCCCGGACAATATGAACAAGTTGAAAAAATAAATTCAAACAACTTAATTTGTATATTAAGTTGTGATTCAAAAGGATAGAGGACGGAAATAGAAAGCTCAGCCTCGAATGATGGCCCTGAGCAAGACGAGGGACGGTATGAGTAGCAAAGAATAGAAAAGGTTGCTGAAATCAGTTTTCTGCTGTACCTGTGACCAAGATGGCCATAAGGATCCAAGTCAAACGACCTGTAATCGAGTGCTTAATGTGCGCAGCATAAAATGGTAAAAGCCTGTCCCGCACAGTATCGGTTGGTAGATTGGCGGCACGTCTTCCAAAATGCTTCCACCAAATAATAGGCTCCAGATAGACACAGGCGAAGGCATGCATCCTGAGGATCTTTGCAGCCAAGGTCGGGGATTCCTTGCAGAAGATGAAAACAGACATGCGGAATAGAAAATCGAGGGTTCTGGAAATAAAAGTGAGGTTTGAACATTTGGCAAAACATCAGAGATAGTTCAAGATTCGGAAGTATGGTGAGTCAAGTTTAGTCGAGATCACCAGGCCTGAGGACTGCCCTTAAATCCGCCAGAAACTGGGAAATAAGTTCCTGAAATGATGGTTCCTTTGTCCGATTACAAATCACAGTACAAAAAGGAAGGCCTTGTGGAACTTCCTTTCTCGTGCCTACCAACCAAGTGATTCTGAATACAGCTTTCGCGCTGTTTGTCAATGGTGGCTAAGGGAATACTGTCAAATAGTTAGGGTGGTCACTATGCCTTGTGGCACAACCTTTACCAATCTGTGGACATTCTTAGATTGATAATGGTCATAGTGATGAGCCAGTGACCCCTCACAAGACAATACTGAAGGGACAACTCCATCTTGAGTCGCCTGTTATGAGCATATGAACTTCGCTCTCACATAAATTGTATTGTACCTATTGTGATGTTTCGACTTGCTGGGGTCACAAATCGAAGAGGTATAATGCGCCTAAATTGCGGCTAATGAACTGTCCGATAAATACGGGACATCTTGTTTGTCAGTAGGATGATTAAAAGAGAGGGTAGATGATGACTATTTCCTGATGGTAAAGAGCTCTTGTTGCGAATATGATCTACCCTTTTTGCCACAGACTAAAAATTCCGACTATGCAGAAGCTCTACTGCCTTGAGACTGAAAATGAACCCATGTAATATGTGGCTTCGTCAACATTAAAAAAATGCAATATATGAAGACCAGGATGGTGTGGCCTTTTGTATGGTCGTGGACTCCTTTCGGTGTATAGAAGTTGTTTGACCTTGTTTATGCAACTTGGTCATGTTGGTAGGAAGTGAAGGGTCGACTTCACTTGTCTCTTTGATCAGTTGTAGTGTGGGGTTAAGAATGGCAAGGCTGACCGCCGATGCAGACGAAACGTCTGGGAATGTACCACGTCCACGGTCCGACTCTGGAAATGATCATTCATACTATGGATTCCGGACAAGGTGCGTTCCTCTAGGCTTTCCTACCAATATGAGCAAGTTGCGAAAACAAGATTAAAAAATGCAATTGTTGCTATAAATGACTAAAAAAATCGGCGGTTGGGTGCGAGTTATTGGTCCACTATCACACTTGATATAATATATCTGGCAATCTTTGTATTGAAGATACTGGCAAAAGCGGTTTTATGCTTATTTTCTTTCACCGATAAGCTCGATTGTTGGAGGCGCAGCTTAGTGTAGACGGACTAATTGGACATTCGCAAAGCACAAGCCGTCACTCTCTATACACCAGCACAGCAGATAAGAAGTGCGTTGACCTCGTTGTCGCAACTTGGTCTTGTTGTCAGGGCGAACTAGTCCGAAGTCTTCTGATATAGTTGTTGTCATGATTCCCAGCGTCAATCAGTGGACTTGGTACATTCCCAAACGTTTCGCCGGCATCGTAGTCGGCATCATCAGTGAGTCTTGCCAGTCTCAGAAACCAAGCTACAACTCGTCAAAGAGACAAGTGAAGCCAATCACTCGACAAACGTTCTGCCGAAAATGGTTACACTATCACTAATCTTTCTGTCCTGGTCTATCTATCCACTCTTTACCCTCTTATCCCATTGCCGCCCTATCACAACTTCTCACTTGTTTACATTCAACTCGTTAAAATATGTGCCCTTTTGTGGCAAACCGAGTGTGGCTTCATCACACTTGCTATTCATCCCGAACCCCTCTCTTTCGATCGGATGATCTGACTCGGGCCTCCAATCCGGATCCTTTCATTGTCTCGTAGATCCGTTCCTTATCGTTTTGGTTGACCGATTTCACTCGGTTCCAGTCCCAATGTGCATTTCACACCAGGCCCTATTTTC